CCCTGAGGAGCTGGGATTACAGGTGTGTACCACCACACCCAACTTTCCATTGATTGAAATGGGGTCCCACTAACTATTTGCCAGGGCTGACCTCGAACTGTGATCCTCCCGTCTCTGCCTCCCGAGTAGTCAGATTTACAGGCGTGAGCCACTGTACCTGGCTACTCCAAGGAATTTCTAACGACAATTTTTTTTTCAGGTCCCAAGAAAAACCGTGAAAGGCTAATTTTTACACTCACGAGACCCTGTGACTCAGTGGCCCTGAGTTCAAATCCCCAGTCCTACCGACAAAAAATCTTCTGTAAAGAATTCACAGGTCACTCCCTTAGGCCAGGCAGGGACCAAGAACTGGGGCAGAAGTGAGGTGCTGGCTCTCACTCCCATGAGCCTTTGCAACAACTCATGTCTGCTTTCCCTACTTTGCCCTCCCACTGTCCCCAGGTCACTGTTCATCCGGGCCCAGGTCACCTTGACGGAGCACTTGGAATTCTCTTCCCCTACAACCTTCAATGGCTCCCGCTGCTGAGAAGGGGTGGCCGCAAGTCTCCAGCAGGGCCTGGAGTCCATGTGAGAAGTGACCTCAGTCTTTTTGGGTCCTCGCGGCATCTCTGTCTCTCACTGCGTGGCTTTTCCTCGGGTGGTCACCTTGATCATGACATCCTTTTTGTCATTTCCACCTTAATGGCTCAGGTCACATGCATGGCCTCCAGGGACAGGGTCCTTCTCCTCCACATTCTAGAGCATGGTGTCTTTGGGGACCCAGGACACGTGGTGGCTTAGGATTCAGGGTTTGAGTACAGACACACGAGGGCTCCAACTTAGGCTGTGGTCACTTCTCGTGTAAAATGGGGACATACACACGGGAAATAGGGCCTGTGACCTTGAAAGCCTGACGGCTAAGGGAGTGAGTGACACTGTCGCAACAAGCAGCGTCTGCCTGGAGCAACACTGGGGGGTCTTCGGGAGCCTTGGACTGGAGGGTCAGACAGGTGGGGAACAGCGTTTAAGTCGGAGGGAACAGCATTGCAAAGACTCCATGGTAGAGGGAGCAGCAAGGACAGACAGACAGGCCCCGTACTCGCCTCACCTGGCACCAGGTGACTTGGGAAGGGCCAGCACCCACCTGGCTTGTGTAGGGAAAGAAAGATCAAAGTCCAAGGGTGGTGACAGAGGCCCAGACCACTGCCCCACCTCCATCCTGGTCCTGGGTCTTTCGTGCAGTCGGTCAAGTTCTCCTTTCTCACCCCTCTGCCTCTCCTCGGCCCTTGCAGTCAACTCCCTTCCTGGGGAGCAGAGTTGGGGGTGGGGACATCAGGCCCCACCTTTCCCTGGGGTCACCCTGAGTTGTGGGTCAGCCAGGAGACATCCCCAGCAGCCCGGGGAAGCCACTTGCCCAAGCGGACACTTCCAGCTCATTGTCCAGGGTCCCCCCAGCCAGCTCCTGTGGGCGGACATCCAGGGACATCCATCCGGCCGAGATGTCTGCAGGGGAGGGCAGAGGTGACAGAGCCAGGGCTTCCTCCGAGGCTCCTGTGTCCCAGTGTCCTTCCTTTGGTTGCCAGGCCACACGCTTTATCTAGGACCGAGTGCCAGCAGGGCACCTGTGACCCATGAGAGACATAGGACACCTGCAAGGTGGGAGGGAGCATCACCCCAGTGAGCGGGTGACTCACACATGGTGACAGAGTCACCACCACGTCCCAGAAGGGACCGAGGGCCTGAAAGAGGACATCCCTGGCCCCCGAGCCACTGGGGCCCAGATGTTGGCTCTGAACCCTCCATGTCCAGGCTGAGGTCACAGAGGACGCCATGAGCTGAGGGGGAGACAGGGACTTTGACGGTGACCTGGACCACGGGGCTTGGCACACTGACGTGGTGACAAACCATGTCCTAGCTGGGCCCTGCCGTCCCTCCTGGACACCAATCCTCACTCTGCTTTTTGGTGGCCTGAGACGCTGGGAGGCTTTGATGGGGATAATGACAGGCTGTCCCTCCTGAACAAGAACAAAGCGGAGTCACTGAGCCAAGCCCATGCTTTCCAGCATGGCAGCTGCTCACCACCTGTCCCCTGCAGCAAGCTGAGTGGCTTCAACAACCAAAGTTTGTTCCCTTGCCGCGCTGGAGGCTGGAAATTCAAGAGCGTTCCTTCTGAGGAACAGGTGCCCCTCCGGCCTCAGCCTCCGGCGTGCTGGGATTACAGGCGTGCACGCCCACGCCCGGCCTCTGCCCCTACTTTCTGATGGTTTTCTGGCAATCTTTGGAGACCCTGGGTTTGAAGAAACATCACCCAACTTTGCTTTCATCTTCACATGCTGTTCTTTCTCTCCGTCTACATCCAAGCTGTCCCCCCTCTTTTTTTTATAAGGATGTACTAGAGTAGGGGGTCCGCCTACCGACTGCAGTATGACCTCATCTTAACTCATCACATCCGCAATGACCCTGTTTCCAAGTAAGGTCACGTGCTAAGCTGCTGGGGACTGGGAGGTTAGCGTTTGAATTTGAGGGTGCCAGAACCCCAAATTTTGACTAGTTGGAAAGATATATGCTATATTAAGTATATACCGGATTTCAAAGATTTGGTACAAAAAGGAATATAATAGCTGGGCACTGTGGCTCACGCCTGTAATCCCAGCTACTCAGGAGGCAGAGATCAGGAGGATCAAAGCCCGTCCCCGGGCAATATCTCCAAAAAACCCATCACACAAAAGTGTAGCCCTGAGTTCAAGCCCCAGTACCGCAAAAAAAAAAAATCCAATGTCTCTAATAATTAATTATTGATCAGATAATCTACCTCATAGGTTAGGTGTATTGACGGCATGTCGGAATAATATTCGGATATATTACAGAAATGCTTTTTTGGCAGAACTGGTGGTTAAAACCAAGGGCTTCAGGCCAGCACACAGTCACAGAGCTCCATAAGTTGCCCAAGGTGGCCTTGAACTCTGGATTCTCCTACCTCAGCCTTCCAAGTAGCTGGGATTATAGACATGAGCCACTGTACCAGGCTATGTAAACCAATTTTCATAGGGTTTTTTTGTGTGTGGGGGGGGGATTTGAACTCAGGGCTTCACGCCTCCTGGGCAGGCGCTCCATCACTTGAGTCACTGCACAGCCCTCATAAAAGTTTTATGTGGCCGCTGGAGAATTTTCCTCTTGGGTGAACCCATATGGATGCCTTTCCAGCAGGGCTGGTGAGTGGAAAACACCTGAAAGTGCTAAACAGCCGCCCTTGCTGGCACTTCTCTCTCTCTCTCTCTCTCTCTCTCTCTCTCTCTCTCTCTCTCTCTCTCCCCCCCTTCCTTCCTTTCTTTTGATTTAAAATTCTTCTAGAGCAAATGTTATTCAAACGAATTATAATGCAAGTCACAAATGCAAATCACCCATGCAATTTTTAAATTTTACATTTTTAGGAGTAAAAGGGTAGAGGAGCTGGGAACATAGCTCAAGTGAGCGCCTGCCTAGCAAACACAAGGCCCTGAGTTCAAACCCCAGTGCTGCCAAAAAATAAAAATTAAAAAAAGCCTGGTGTCCAGTGGCTCACACCTGTAATCCCAGCTACTGGGAGGCAGGGTGAAGGAGGATCTGTGTTGGAGGCAAATAGTTCCGAGACCCCATCTCCAAAATGACCAGAGCAAAATGGACTGGAGGTGTGGCTCAGTGGTAGAGCGCCTGCTTTGCAAGTGCAAAGCCCTGAGTTCAAATCCCACTCCCACCAAATAGTGAAAGAAAAGAAAAGTAAAATTTATACATTACAATTCAAAGGTTTAAAAAAGTTGCAATCACCTTTAATTTTGCATTTATTCCCATAGATCTAAACATTTCATATCAACATGTCATCAGCAGCAAAATCAATGAATGAAGCATTTTACTGTGGGCCGCGACCCAGGCTCACAGCTGACTCATTGTCACCAGTGCTGAGCCACACAGGACCGGTCATCTCACACCCGGAGCTCGGTGTGACGCTGTGGGAGGACAGAGGGAAAGGTCTCGGTGGCTTGTTCCGCTGCCCCTTGCCCCTGCCACCTGCACCTTCTGGAAAATTCAGGTCCAGCCAACTGCGTCAGCCACCTCCCACTGCCCGGTCCCTCACCCAGGGCACCACCTGGGCCGTCCCAGGGTCTCCAGCCCTGCAGCTGCTGGTGACAGCCACAGTAACAATTATGAAACCGTGCTCCTCACAGCCCACGCTGAGGGACTGCAGAATGCCAGGCCACCACCAGGTGACCCACAGGCCACCGCCTTATCTAACCTTTCCCCACACCTCCAGGACCAGAGCCATTGGCACATCCAGCCTGCCAGTGAGCATGACCAAGCCCGGCCTCTGCTCAAGGTCAGAGGTAGCGGGGACCGAGGGCTGGGTGTGGTGGCCCACATCTGCCATCTCAGTTCCTTGAGAGCCGAAGAACTGAGGTTTAAGGCCATTCTTGGCAAAAAGTTAGCGAGACCCCATCTTAACAAACAAGCTGAGCGTGGTGGCGCAAACCTACCATCCCAGCTATGGCTCAAGTGGCAGAGCACTGAGGCCCTGAGTTCAAACCCCAGTACCCCTCCAAAATGGCAGGGGGGAGCTCCTTAGGCAAAAGGACCAGCGAGTTGACCTCTCCAGGTTTATAAAAAGTGCCTCCATTTTGTTCAGAAGGGCAGGTGACACACATCCCCTCCCCCCAACTCCTTCCTTGCCACCTGGGAATTTGGACGGTTTCCCCTTAGGGTGAGGCTTGGGTGGGGTGGGGGAGTGGAGGTCACCTGCTGCCCCAAACTCCAGTCTGTGCTCCTGGACACCTCTTGGGGCAAGTCACCTCCCTGTCCCAGATAGGGTGCACTTGGGGATTGGGACAAACAAAAACTCAGAGGGGAAGAGAGAGGCCTGGCAGGGCGGAGCAGGGCCAGCAGCTCCCTTTGGGGCGGGACCAGCATGTGACACCGCTGGGCAAAAACAGGCGAGTGTCCTGCGGGGTGTCCATTTGTCCTGTAGTCTTGCACCGTGTCCCCCAGGCACCATGAGCGGCAGAGTCGGGGACCTGAGCGCACAGCAGCAGGAGGCTCTGGCCAGGGTGAGGAGCCTGGAGGGCGGGGGGCTGGGGACCGGCCTGGCTCAGTCCCCACCTTGGGGACAGGGACACGGAACGCACGCCTGGAGCACAGGGCGGCCACCGTGTGCAGCACCTGCGACGGGAGCCATTTTCTGGGCTACTAGAGGAAAGGGGGACAAACCCAGCCCCCCCCAGTTCCCTGGCCCTTGTTCCTATGGGGGGAGGAGTGACCCTGTGTTCCTGGGACAGACAGATTCCAGATCTGTGCCCAGATTGCGACATTTGTTGTTTGGTTTCTCTTCCTGGCCCTCAGGACCCAAGCCTTCTTTCGGTGGTTGATTTTTTTTATGAGAGGGAAGTGGAGATTTGGAGGTGACAGTGACACTGTCCCCAGGGCGCTGGGGAAGGGGGGAATGTCTGGGTCTTAGGTGTGTCCCCCTGGCTTGCACTTGGGCCTCTGGGAAGGTAATTCAAGATTTGTGTGGAGCCGGGCATCAGTGGCTCAGGCTGTAATCCGAGCTCCTTGGGAGGCTGAGATCAGGAGGATCGGGGTTTGAGGCCAGCCCAGGCAAATAGTCCCTGTGACCCCATCTCCAAAATAACCAGAGCAGAATGGACTGGTGGAGTGGCTCAAGAGGTAGAGCGCCTGCTTTGCAAGCACAGAGCCCTGAGTTCAAATCCCAGGTCCCCCCACCAAAACAGAAGATTGTGGAATGACTTATTTCTCCCTGGGGATGCGTCCTTCAGGGAGAGAGGGAGGCAGAGGGTGAATTCTGCTGTCCCAAACTTTGTTTCTGGGACACCTCTTGGGAATGAGGGAGTCACCCCAGATAGGGGGACATCCCAGGGTCCCCAAGATAAAAGAGGGGCCCTCACATGAGAGGAAGGGGCTCTCAGGTGAAGGAGGGGTCCTCACTGAAGGGGAAGGGGTCCTTTGGTGAGCGTCCAGCATGATGGCCTCGGGGAGGTCCCAGGTACCAGGCTCAGGAGGGAGACCTGAACTTTGGGGTGAATTATGGTGGAAATCAGGGGCCAGAAGTTTAAACAATGCCAAAACGAGCTTCTTTTTTTACTTTTTTCCATTATTTAAAAGTAATGAGCACTTAGCATTTTAAAAATTGGGGCGGGGGGAATTGAAAAGAAAAAGCAGGACAGGTGATCCACGATCTGAGAACTATAAACCCAGGAGTGTTTCCTTCCAGATTCTTCCCACAGCTGGTCCCACTGCCAGGCAAGGTTTTGTCCCTTTGTGACATCATCGCAAGGTGATTTTCCGCCAAGCGCAGCACCTGCTTGGTGGCTTTCTTTCCCTCGTCCGTGCCAAGGACAGCGTGGGCTGGCTTGCCACTTCCCCCGCTCTGTCCCTGGTGCAGATTCTCCATCACCGCAGCCTCAGTTTTCTCATCTGCAAAATGGGGGTGTGACCTTGGCCTCCTCCTGCCTCAGGGCATGTCCTGAGGTCCAAATGAGGAAACCCCATAGTGCTGGGGGGAAGGAGAGGGACAAGGTGATTGCTTCCGGGGACCCTGCCTCCTTCCACCGCTGCCCCCCAAAACTTCCTTGGGCCCCAGAGGCTGCAATGGCGTCTCATGTAGGAATCTCCCTTGTCCCTCGGGATTTGCAGCAGACGCTGTCGGGGCTGATGGCACTTGGTAACTCCGAGCACCACGTTTGTCACTATTTCCATTTCACAGATGGAGAAACTAAGGCTCAGAGCGGTTAAGTAATTCACCTCCAAGCCCAGAGCCCCCCAAAGGCAGCCATCAGGGGCAACCCTGCTGAAACCTTCTGCCTGGGTGGCGTCAGAGTGACCCCGGTGACCCCCAAAATTTGAGAAGGTCTGGTGGTGCCCTGTTCCCAGACGCCATAATGGTTCGGGGAAGGTGTTAACTTTGTGGTCTCCGCCCAGCAGGGTCCCCAGCTGAGGGTGGGTGGCCCGTGATATGTGACAGTCATTTCTGTCCCCTTAGTTCCGAGAGAAACTCCAAGATGTGCTACCCACCCTGCCCCAGGCTGATGACTATTTTCTCCTGCGCTGGCTCCGAGGTGACACCACAGAGATGGGGGGGGGCAGAAAGGGGAGGAAGTGGTCATGGGGGGGGCATTAGAAGAAGGGGGTGGGGGACTTCCGGGGTCAGGTAAGGAACACGGGCTCAGGATCCACCTGCTCTGGGCTAGAACCTGAGCTCCCCCGTGTGTCAGCACGGGACTAAGTCTCTGCCAAGCCTTAGTTTCCTCATCTGTGAAATGGGTGGGGTCCCCAGGTGGGTACAGACTCGAAGTGAGGCTAGAACCAATGTCTGGGGCATCCTCCAAGGTTAACTGGCCTGGTCGTGGGCCCGACATCACTGTACATGGTCTTCTGAGACTTGCCTTTGGGTCTGTCCTCAGTTCTCTGTGGATAGACTGTTTTGTCCCCATAAGGAACTGACACGTCTGCTGGGACATGGAACAGGTACCCAGCAAATACTGAAGGGAATGGCTTTAAAGAAAGCTGGAGATTGAGTTTCTTTAAAGACTTTTAGCTGCAGTAGGGGAAAAGCATTTGAACCCACTCCATCCCATGGAGGAATTTCACGTACAAGGTGAGAAAAGTCAGGGGTCGGTGTGGCTGAAAATTCTGCTCTTTGGGCTGGCGGCGTGGCTCAGTTGGTAGAGAGCCTGCCTAGCAAGCGTGAGGCCCTGAGTTCAAACCCCAGCATTACAAAAAACAAATTGATTACATTTTTGTCTTCAATAGGGCAAGCTGGCCACTGAATCCCAGCCCTACAACAAGCTAGCAGTATGCTGGTGACAAGCCGTTCATTGTACCTTAGCCTTTCTTTGTTAACATTGGTTCCTACCTTCAGGGTGCGTGAATGGCAAAACGCCCTGCCAGGAGCTGACTGTTCTATTCTGTTTATTCTATCTTTTTTTTTTTTTAATAAAAAACAACTATTTTTATAAACTTTATTTTTTTTAGATTGGCTTTAGATTTTCAGAAAATGCACAACCATATAGAGAGTTGCCATCTGTAGTGTACCTAAGGTTAGGAACAAGGAAAGGATGACATCAGTCACCATTGCTGGCTAAACATGGAACTAGCAATCTTTGCCAATGCTATAAGACAAGAAAAGCCAGTGGCAAAGACTAGACTTATTTTATTTTATTGCAGATAAATAGCTTCTCTCCCTTGTTAACCGATAGAATCAACAGGAAAAAAAGTCTAGAACTAAACAGAAACTTCATCAAGATGACCAGGTAGAAAACTCAATAGCAATTCTCTCTGCAGCAATATTCACCTAGAAAACGTAATGAAAAGTCAGACATGACTCAAAACAGCAACAAAGCCTATAAAATATCTCGAAACTTAACCTCAAACCCAAGCTCTCCATGAGCAACACTCATGGCAATTTCCAAAACAGAGCACAGCCAGGCTGGGTGCCAGGCCTCACACCTGTAATCCCAGCTACTTGGGAGGATGACATCAAGAGGATCCAGGTTCGAGGCCAACCCGAGCAAATAGTTCTCAAACCCTGTTTCTAAAATAACCAGAGCAAAATGGACCGGAGGTGTGGCTTCAGCAGTAAGAGTGCTTGCTTTGCAAGTGTGAAGCCCCGAGTTCAAACCCCAGTGGTGCAAGAAAAAAAAAATTTTCAAAGAATTTCCAAACTAAGGCTGGTAGTGCATGCCTGTAACCACATAGTTCCAGGCCACCTTGGTCTACATAGCGAGACTATGTCTCAGACAATAAAACAAAGCAAAAAATCCAGACCCACTGGATTCTTGGGATGCAAAGAAAGGGAGGGGGACCCCCAGTATGTCCTCACAAGCTTTTGGGGACCCACTAATTTGAGATCCAGTCTCTTCTTCCCTCATCTTCTCGTAGCTCGGAACTTTGACCTGCAAAAGTCAGAGGACATGCTTCAGAAGGTGAGAACCTGTTACCTGTGTCCCATCTCCCATGCTCCCGGGGGGCTGTACTCCGGGCATCGGTGACAAAGAGTGGCCTTGTCGTGTTTATTCTTCCTTCCTCCTTGGATCCCTTTCTGCACAAGACCTGGGTCCCTCTCCTTTAAATTTTCTCCTGTCCCCCTGGGTGGCTGCGGGCAGAGGGACCAAACCTGGTGTCCCCAGATGCCCATAGAGGCCTTTGGGGCAAAGTCTCCAGCTCCTGCCACTTTCCTGTAGCACCTGGTGTTCCGGAAGCAACAGGATCTGGACAATATCCTCAAGTGGCAGCCGTCAGAGGTGAGCCCCACACGGCATCCTTGTAACCCTCCTACCCCATCCGGGTCCCCCGCTGCCCGCGTCAAGCCCCTGATCATGTCCTTGAGGTGGCTTGAGTCAGGACCCCACTGTGTGTCCAGGTGTTGCAGCTCTACGACTCGGGCGGTCTGTGTGGCTACGACTATGAAGGCTGCCCCGTGTGGTTCCACGTCATCGGGACCCTGGACCCCAAGGGACTGCTTCTGTCAACATCCAAGCAGGAGCTGCTCCGCAAACGCATTAAGTCCTGTGAGATCCTTCTGCACGAGTGTGAGCTGCAGAGCCAGAAGGTGAGGCCCTGAGTTCAAATCCCATACCACCCCCACCAAAAAAAATATACCCAAACACCAGAAGGTGGGGTACATGAGGACCTAGGCTGTCCAAAGGGAGACTCTGGGTCCAGGGACAGGTGACACCTCATGCCCTGACTTCTCCCCAGCTCTCAGGACTGCTAACCCTGCTGTTGGCACGCGTCGATGTCACCAAAGCCCTTTTCCTTCTGCATTAGACACTGACCACAGATGCAGGCAAAACTCTTGCTCTGTTCGCTGGGAACTCTGGGAAAAGTGGGCTTTGCCTTTGGAAAAGATTTTACCCACCATTATAAATATCATCCCCATCCGAGAAAGCCTCCTCAGCCAACATGGTGGATCTTCCTGCCTCCGAGCGGCCCTCTGCCTCCTTCAGAGTGAAGCCAGGCATGGCCCTTGTTGGTTTTGTGACAGAGATGTGCCCAGTGACACTGTCATGTCACATGGCATGGTTTGGCTACTTGCTGGCTCCACAAGACCAGGATGGGGCCTGTGTCACCAATGTCTGGCACAGAAAATAGGCCAGCAAATATCCCCAGCAGAGAGGGGGTGGCTGGAATGGAAGTGAGTCAATCAACCAACATGGCTGACTTTCTAGGGTTGTCACAGTGTCTGCCACTTTAATGATGGAGGTGGTCCTTGTGGTGGTGATACGATACAAATAAAAGTATTTGCTAATATTTATCAGCAAATATCTTTGTGTATCATTTGAATTCTCATAGCAATTGTATCAGAACCAAGAATGAGTCTCCTTTTACAGAGTAGAGCAAGGCTCAGAGAGGTTCACAACCTGCTCAAGGCCACACAGCAGAACTCTGGCTTGGACACAGCCGTGGTCTACAACGAGGTCAGCTTGTCTGTGTCACCAGCACCTCGTCTGCAGATTCACTTAACTGAAGATAGGAAATATTCAGGGGAGAAAATGGATCTATACTGAACTGTCCAGACACTTTTTTTCTTTTCGGTATTATAAATCACCTAGAGATTATTTCAGTGTTCAAGAGGGTGTTCACAGGTTAAATGCAAGTTTGGCACCTTTTGATATAAGAAATTTGAGCACCTGAGCTTGCATCTGCAAGGGGTCCACCAGTGAGCCGTGTCTTTCATTAATTAAAATTGATTTGCTCCACGCCGTAATGTTGAGCAGACTCTGAAACCTTCCCCCGCCACCCCCATGAGCCCACAGAGCCTGTGAGGGCTCAGATGAGCGTCCCCACACATCCTAGATAGACTCCCTCTTTTTGGGAAATGCCACGGGCTGCCCGGAGGTGTGAGTGACACGAGTGTGTTTTGCTCTGGCCGTGCAGCTGGGCAGGAAAATTGAGACTGTGCTGATGGTGTTTGACATGGAAGGACTGAGCCTGAGGCATCTCTGGAAGCCAGCCGTGGAGGTCTACCAGCAGGTAAGGCAGGCGTGGACCCCGGGACAATAGGGAGCCACAGCCTAGCCAGTCCTTGGAAAAAGGAGACACACCTGCTCCTGGAGGTGGAGGAGGCGGGTGGGCCTCGTGTCTCAGTAGCCTCTGAGGCCACAGAAGTCCAGGGGTCAGGGTGCAGGAGCTTAGCCCTGACCAGGCTTGTCTTTGCTTCACAGTATTTTGCCATAATCGAAGCAAATTATCCAGAGACGGTGAAGAATTTAATTATTATTCGAGGTGAGCCCCTGACCTCCTAAGGGGGGAGAAGTAGGGAACAGGGTGGGGGTGGATAGTCGGTAAACTTTTAGGTTCAGGTAAAGAACCATTTTTTTCTTTGTAGTTATTGAGATTTGAACTCAGTTCCTCATGCTTGCTAGGCAGGTGCTCTACCATTTGAGCCACTCTACCAGGTCTTTTCTGTGATTTTTTTTTTTCAAGACAGGGTCTCCCAAACTGTTTTCCTGGGGCTGGCTTTGAACCTAGATCCTCCTGATCTCTGCCTCCTGAGTAGCTGGGATTACAGGCGTGAGCCACAGGCACCAGCCCATTTTTTTTGTCTCATCCTTTGCAAGCACACACTTTTCTAACACACAAAATCCCACACTAGTCAAATAAGTTTTGACTTCTAAGTGTTTGCTGTTGTTTTCTTGGCTTACTTTGCTGTGGACTGGTAACAGATGGTCCTTGGGCCACACTGGTTGAGCAAGAATGGTCTCTGTCTTCCCCGGCCACGTGGGGAGAGGTAGCCACTTGTTCCCTGGGGTCCAATGGTCTGGGTTCAAATCTAGCTGGCTCTATGACTTGGGGCAAGTCTATTGCATCTCACTGAGCCTTCGTTTCCCGCTCTGTGACGCTCTCCCCACACAAGAGCTGGGTGTTAAGTGAGACAGTCATAGCAGAGCGTGGCCTGCTCAGCGAGCAGGTGGCCTTGCACCCAAGAGGGTTCCATGGCTACTGGGGAAAACTCCAGTGCAGAAAGGGACAGGTACCATGGGGGAAATCGCCATTGCTGGACGAAGGACGACAACAGCTGATTGAGTAACAGCACTGATTCCGAGAGGGTGTCACTCACTGACGGTCACAGAGCAAGCAATGTCTCACGCCTCCCTGGCCCAGCTTCCCGAGGGAGTCTCATCTGTTTCAGCCCCCAGGCTATTTCCAGTGGCTTTCAACTTGGTCAAGTCGTTCATGAGCGAGGAGACCCAGAAGAAGATAGTGATTCTGGGAGGTGAGCGCTGTGGCCTCCTGGCGAAGCCCATCTCTGCATCTGCCTGGAAAGCAGAGGTCGTTGCCGGAGGAGGCCCCATTTCTGCTTGGCTCCTCCTCAGTAGTCACTGACCCTGGACTGTCCGTGTCGCCTCTGCACCCAGGGCAAGGCCTTAGGTTCTAGGTCATGGTCGGGTGGCCATGGTGTTGGAGTAGATGTCTGGGGGAGTATCTGGGGTCCTGGGCCCTCTGCTGATCTCCCTGAGCCCCACGGAGGCCTTCGGTTCTCTCCCTGAGTCTCCCTGAGTGTCTCAAGGCCCCTGTCCCCATCCTGAGTCTTGTAAACCCATCAGAGACACCCCCTTCTTCCCTGAGTCTCCCCAAGCTCCCTGGAGGTCCCCCTCCCCTCCTTAAGTCTGCCTGAGACCCCTGGAAGTCCCCTGTCCTCTCCCTGAGTCTCCCTGAACCCCCTAAGGTCCCCCCTCCTCCTCCTCCACAGACAACTGGAAGCAGGAGCTACAGAAGTTTATCAGCCCCGACCAGCTGCCTGTGGAGTTTGGGGGGACCATGACTGACCCCGATGGCAACCCCAAGTGCCTGACCAAGGTACAGGGTCCCCAGGGGACGGGGAGCTGGGGAGACCAGCATGGCTCAGTGCCCGCTCACCCATCCTCACCCCGCAGATCAGCTATGGGGGCGACGTGCCCAAGAGCTGCCACCTGTGCAAGCAGGTGCGGATGCAATACGAGCACACGGTGACCGTGGGCCGCGGCTCCTCCCAGCAGGTGGAGAGTGAGATCCTGGTCCCAGGCTGTGTGCTGAGGTGGGGACAGTGGCCGCCCCACTCCTGGGCACAGCAGGAAGGGGCTGCAGGGGTCATCGGTGACACCCTGTCCTCTGCAGGTGGCAGTTTACATCCAATGGTGGGGACATCGGCTTTGGGATCTTCCTGAAGACCAAGATGGGGGAGCGACAGAAGGCTGGGGACATGACAGAGGTGCTGGCCAGCCAGCGCTACAACGCCCATATGGTGCCCGAGGACGGGACCCTCACCTGCCTCCAGACCGGCGTCTGTAAGAGCTGAGGGTGTCCCTGGAGTTGTTTCCCTCTTGGTGACAAGGACAGGAGTGCCCATGTCTTGCCACCCAGCCTCTCTGTGTACCCTCTGTTTCGGTTCTTGGGAGGGTGCAGGGGTCCGTGTAGGTTCTCAGATCCCATGGGCTCCCGGGAGCTGGCTTCAGGGTCTTTGATCTGCTGAGGGACCCGTATGTGTGGGTACAAGGATAGAGGGACCTTGCAGAGGAAAAGGCAGGCTTCGGAGCCCAAGACTGTGGGCTCAGCTCCAGGGAAATCCCCATAAGCAGCCAAAGTCACAGTAAGGTGTCACCTAGCCGTGTGCACCACCCTACTTCAGGAATCCAAAAGGTGTGTCTTCCTCCTTTCGCTGCACCTCCTTTGTCCCTGAGTGGGGGTCAGCTTGGTCAGTGTTACCAAAAGCAACATTGCCCAGTGTCTGTCACCTTCCATGACTATAACAAAAGACCCGAGATAACGAGCTTAGAAAGAGAAAAGGTTTATTTTGACTCACATTGGCCCCCATTGCTTCTGGGAGTGTGTGCAGAGCAAAGTTGATTACGTCACAAGCGTGGGAGCAGAGGAAAGGGGAAGGGGCTGGAGTCCCAGAGTCCCCTCAAGGGCACCCCAGTGAACCTGCTGCGAGGCCTCACCCGGTATAGCTCCCATTCCCTTTAACACAGGGACCCATAGGGGACACTTATCCAAACCACAGCAATGGGATTGGTTGTCACTTTCAAGTGACCAGCTGTGAGGACACGGGGAGCTGTGACGTGGGACGTGCTATCTGGTGCACAGAAGGTGCCACACCGCTTGCTGGCGGCCACCACGACTCCTCTCTAGGTAGCACGGCCGTCACCAAGGAGGTGGTAGTGAGTCTTGGTCTTGGGGCTGGGCAGTGGCCCATGTGGCACCAGGTGTACACATGGGTGGGGCTCGCTACCTGGTCACTGCTGTCCTTTCAGATGTCCTACGCTTTGACAACACGTACAGCCTGATGCACTCCAAGAAGGTCAGCTACACCGTGGAGGTGCTGCTCCCTGACAAAGCCTGCGAGGAGAAGTTGCAGGGTGTCCAGGCACCGAGACCCTCCCCAGCCCCGTGAAGACCCTGGCCACCGCTGCACCTGCTCCCTCCAAGCCCCCCGCACCCGCTCCTCTTTCCCTCCCCTCCCAGGTGGGGTGGCTCTGAAGGTGGCCACCTATGGCCACCTACCCTGTCTCTCCCTGTCAGCCCACTTGTGGCCTAGCGGTCAAGCAGAACTTGGGGCGGGGGGCAGGGGGCGGGGGGTGACCACCAGTGCCCAAGGATTCAGACACGTATCTCATCCCCCGTTCCTTGAGAACGGGACTGAGGAAGTGTCCACTGAAGAAGGTCCTTATGTCCTCCTGACGGGGTCCACCCACCCCAGGACTCACCTGTGGGGAGAGGTTTTTTTTTTTTTTTCTTTTTTGGTGCTGGGATCGAACCCAGGGCCTCACGCACGCTAGGCAAGCGCTGTACCACCGAGCTACATCCCAGCCCGAGGACTCACCTGTGAATGGTGTCCCTGCTTGGGGTGGGGAGGGACCCTGCAGGGAGCACAGCTTCAGGCCCAAAGAGCAGGGGACACTGCTCTCGGTCCCCAGGGATGGACAGGGCCAGCTGGAGGCAGCTGGGTGGGAGAGGGGCAGGAGTGAGCATCCGGGTTCTGGCTGAGCACTGAAATTTCACCTTTGGAAGGAAGACAGGAAATGGGCAGGCAGGACCCTGTGGGGTGCCACCAGGGGAAAAGCCAGGGCCAGCCTTGCCCAGGGTTTGGGTGTCCACACCTGCAGGACAGTCAGCTTTGGCTCCTTCCATCTTGAGTGAGGCCCAGATCAACACAGCAGACCTTGCCTGGAAATAAGGTCAATCGGTGTGGCTCAGTGGGTGACTCCAGGTGGAGGCAAAGCCGTCACCTAGGGCCCAGGATCCCTTCCCTGCCCTCTGTCCTCTAGCTGGGCCAGAGCCAGTGGCCACTGTCATCTCAGAAGACCTGTGTCCTACCAGAGCTGACTCAGCCTCCCCTGCTTAGGATTCCTTGATTGTGTTATGGCACGGTTGTCCCACAGGACAAAAGAGTGCTGTCCATCCCACGTCCTGGCATTGAGTAGCCAGGTGTCCTGTAAAGGGGACAGCAAGCTGTCAGCAGCCTGGCTGTCAGCGTCCCTCCCAGGAGCCTTATCATCAGGCCACCTGTCCAGGTGTTTTGCAAGCAAGAAGCCAGGCTTGGCCCCGTTCCCGCCTGATTCTCATTTGGTTTTCTCCAGTTGACAGGAGCTTCGTGACCCAGGACGTATTTTCGGGGAGAAATTCTGAGGCCTGAAGTGGGGGAGTCTCCAGGGGAGCCGTGTGGGGACCCCTGGTCTGAACAGGGACTCCTTTGCAAAATACAAAAACAAACTCAGCTGATACCTAGGGCCAGCGCAGCAAGGAATTCCTGTCCAACACGGTCGGAAACGGATTGGAAAAAATAAATAAAAAAATAAAAATGGCTGTGCTGCCTCCATGGAGTTGGAAGGGAAGGGGAGGGGAGGGAAGGGGAGGGAAGGACTAAGGTTTGGGTTAGGGTTAGGGCTAGGGTTAGGGTCACAGGTCACCCCCAAGTCCAAAGGCTGCCCCCGTATCTAATGAGACATGACAGGCACTTCCACTGCCCCCTTGCCCTATGTAGCCCCTCCGCAGAGCCACTCTGGCTCCCCAGGGCCATTTTCCCACGCTCCTTGGCAGACTGGTGGGGGTTTGTTAACTGCAGTCAGAGGACCCTGTGCCAGATTTCATTGAGCCTCCCTGTTGTCATGACGAGGACTCAAAATGCCTCAATGCACCCGACACCTGCCCTGTGTCAAACAAGAGGCTCTGATGTTAAACTTGACCCTTGCCCTGCTAACCACCACGGTCAACTTAGTCCAGTTTGCTGCAAACCTCACTCTGCCCCATGCACAAGGGTTTCCCGAGGCTCCCATCACAGAGACTACACACAAATACAGGGGCCGGGGTTTGGGGTAGGTGACAAGGGGCCACATGCAGAGAGGGGACCAGTGGCTCTGGAACAGTGTGCTTGGATGGAAAGCAGTGAACCCAGCGGTCACCTGTGGAGGTAACAAGAGGCTGAGGACACTGGGCTGACCCAACTCTACTGACTGGAAGCTTGCTTGTATTGAGGGAGGCAGGAGTGACTCTGATGATCGGTGACCAAGTGTGTGTGCGGTCACACGTGGTGCTGGTGACAGCCCAAAGCCAAATTCTGGGGGAGCACACAGCAAAAAAGTCTGACAGGAGGTCCAATGACCTTTGCCTAAGAAAGTGACCATGAATAGCCAGGAGCTGGTGACTTACGCCTGTAATCCCAGCTACTCAGGAGGCAGAGATGAGGAAGCCAGCCTGGGCAAATAGTTCTAGAGACCCTATCTCAAAAACACCTAACCCAAAAAAAGGGCTGGTGGAGCGGCTCAAGTGGTGGAGTACCGGGCCCTGAGTTCAAATCCCAGTACCACCACCAAAACAAAACAAAGTGACACTGAAGGTTACGTGAAGGTGAGCCACCCAGGCTGAAGAATGGGGTGTGGGTGGCCGTGGGGCAGAGGAAATATGGGGAGAACCCTGGGTGACACCTGATGTTGGTGCCTTGGTGTCTGGTTTCTCCATGGACAACTGTGTACGTGTTGAACGACTGTTAATAAAATGACATTTTAATGTAGATTATAAAACAGCTTCTGGCGTGTCAACGAAAAAAAATGGCAAAATTTTGGCAGCAGGCTACCAATCCAAACAGACCCTGCTCAAAGTGAGGCACTGGAAATCCTGAAATATCTGTCCAGGGAATGGAGGTGTGACCTGCCCTTCCCAGGTGTCTCCCCATGGAAGTCCCCACAATCTTCAGGGGGGGGGTCCCAGGCAGGTGTGTCTCAATGGTAGTTGGAAAGGCTCCCCTGTCCCCCAACCTCAACTCAACCCAGCTCACGGGCCAAGAAGACTGTCCCCGAGGGGACACCACTGTGGACACTCACACAGTCCCCTTACCTGCCCTTGGACCCTGGTGGCCATGGTGATTCTGCCTTCAGCCAGCAGGGGGCAGTGTTGGACGGGACCGGTCACCTTGGACTTGGGTTATTAGGAGTTTACGAGGCTCCCTGTGTGCATTGTGGCCTCCCGTCCAGACTCCACAGGGCGGCCTCAAAGTGTTCCTGGAATGAAAATCTGATCTCCTCTTTCCCTGTGTAAGCCCTTTGCCCCTGAGCCTCACTCCTACCCACGCCCCAGCAGAGTCAGGGTCCTTATTTTTATTGTTTGGACAACTGTGCTGTGGAGGCTAGCCTCCTGACCTTCCATCCTCCCGTCCCGAGATTACAGGCATGCACTACCTCTCCCAGCGAGGTCTCTTCTCCATCCTTGCAGAGCAACAGGAGCTAAATTCGTCACGTGAAAGAGATGGCGACACTTCCCAGATGCAAAATATAATTGATGCTACTTACCTGCCTAGACCTGCCACCTTAAGTCACCCTCCACTTTACGAGGAGGGAAAGCGAGTCACTGGTTTGGTGGCGGTCCTAGGACCAGTCCTAGGACTGACTCCACAGCTGTGGCGCTCTTTGTTAGTCAGTTTTCCTCACTGAAATGAAATACTCTAGACAATTAACTTATAAAGAAAAAAAAAGTTTATTTTTTTTTTCTTTATAAAAAAAATAATGGGATCGCCCCATTGCTTTGGGCCTCTGGTGGGGGTGGTACCTCGTGCCAGGAGTACAAGGCACAGAAAACCAGGAAAAATCAGCCGTGCATGGTGGCACACACCTGTCATCCCAGCACCAGGAGGTTAGAGAGTTCGAGCCCAGCCTGAGCTACACAGCAAGACCCAGTCTCAAAAACACACAAAGCTGACTAATAACCAGTGTTGGGCAGATGAAGAGAAAATGGAACCCTTGTGCGCTGCTGATGGGAATGGAAAGTGGTGCAGCCCCCGTGGGAAACGATGACAGTCCCTTTAAAAAGTGAAACCAAATCAGCACATGGCCCAACAAGTCCACCTCTTTTTGTGGCACTGGGATTTGAACTCAGGACCTCACACTTGGTAGGCAGGAGCTCTGTTTATTATTTTATTTAGTTTATTTTTCAGGTCAGGTCTCACACTTTTGCCTGGGCCAGTCTTGGACTGAGATCCTCCTACCTTTGCCTCCCGAGTAGCTGGGATTATAGACATGCCCTACCATGCCTGTTCCTAAAAAACACAGAATTGTATATTTAAGGATGAATAATTAATTTTTTTGTGAATTATACGAACATGTTAAATTATTTTATTTAAAAAAAAGGAGCTGTAGCTCAGTGCTTGCCTAGGGTTTGATCCCTAGCACTGCAAATAACAATACTAATAAAAACAGTAATAGTAAGGATAAACAGGAGCTGAAACTGCCTAAGGGTAAAAGCTGGAAAGTGAACTGCCCCCCGGGTGTATCCAGAGCACCCCTGGGACTCTGGTGTACCCCCAATTCCTTTCTACCTCCCCTTATTACTCCCAGACTCCCCATTACTTCCCAGCAATGCTGGCCTCGTGGCGAGGCTCGTGCACCCCTGTAGCTCCCCTCAAACTCACTCCACCATCGACCTAGGGGAGGTGGGACTGGGGTTTGAACTCAGGGCCTCACGCTTACAGGTACACAGGAAGGTGCTGGATGCTGGGACCCGGGGGGCAGCCAATCCCTGTTCCCCATTCCTTAGCAAGCTCCTGGAAGGAGGGCCCCATGGCGTGTGCAGGCTGCAGTGTCTACCCAGGGTGGCTGTTTGTTTATGCTGCAATTGTCACCATGGTCCCCTGAGAGCCTGGCAAATGAGCTGGCAAACACAGCTTGGGGGCCGCTCTTGGGGAGGGTGTGTACCGGGCTTCCTTCCCAGGGAAGGAAAATTAATCCTGCAGGGCCCAAGACACGCTGCAGCCCAAAGGGGGAGGACCGGCTTCCTGCACAGGACACTTTAGACCATTATTTTGCACTTCATATGTTAAGCCCTCCAAGGAGGAGGTAGGGCTTGCTTTGGTTCCAGGACAGACATCAGAACCAGATAGGATTGGGTTCAGATTCTGACTATGTGGCCTCAGACTCAGATTTTTCTTTTAAGGGTGGGACTGGGATTTGAACTCAGGACCTCACACTTACAGGCAGGCACTCTACCACTTGAGCCACGCTGCCAGCCCTTTTTTGTATTGGGTTTTTTCAAGATAGAGTCACAAGAACTGTTACCCAGGCTGGCCTCGAACCATGAACCTCCTGATTTCTGCCTCCTGAGTAGCTAGGATTACAGGCGTGACACTGGTGCCCAGCTCAGAAATTTTTTCCTGGTCTCTCCGATCGTCCGTGTTTTTGGCTGTCAAATGGGAATCCCTGTGGCTGTTTCCAAATGGTTTGATGATGACTTAAAGCCCGCAGCACAGAGGAAACACTCAGACACCAGGAGACTGACAGCTCAGTGCAGGCCAGGGCTTAATCCGGGTGCCCAGTGTGACATTGCTGTCTTGTGACTGCTGCAGTTCGGGTATAAAGTGTCCTCTAAAGGCTCGTGTGTTAAAGGCTTGTTCCCAGCTGGTGGCTTTATTAAGAAGGTGACTGACTAGTGAGAGCTCATCAGTGTGCCTGGCCCCTTTTGCTTTCTCTCTCTCTCTCTCTCTCTCTCTCTCTCTCTTCCCCTCTTTCTCTACCTCACCACAGACCTCGCAGCAATGGAGCCAGCCACCCACCAAGCGCTGACACTCCTGACATCATGAGCCACTGTGAGCCCTTCCTCCCTCCAGTTGTCCCCCTCGGGTATTTTGTCACAGTAGCAACAAGGCAGTTAACACGCTGTCGGTCACATGCTACCTGCACTGTCCCTTCCGCTCGGGATGTCCTTCCTCTCCTTAGCTCTCTCATGGCCTGACAGGTGTCACATGCATGACCTGGGGGGGGTGACCTCCGGGCTGGGTCTGCATGACGGTGCACCTGTGCGGTGAGCCCCCCACACCCCGCCCAGCCTCTGGTGTCCCCAGAAGTGTCAGCCGCCTGGCTTGAGGGGGACTGGAGGACAAAGGAGACTGGTGAGAAACGGCGGGATTAAGAGCTAGTGAGAAACCAGTGCTGGAATCCAATCTCGAGGTGTGGACGCAGCCAGGGCTTTGTGGAAATTGAGGCTGGAATGTGAAGTGGGGTGGGGCTGGGGCGTGGAGCGTTACCTAACTGCTCGGGCAGGTGTCCCAGACAAGGACAGCCCCCCCATCTGGAGCCATTTCTATCCAGGGCGGTGTCTGTACTATCTTACATCAGTTTACCTAAAGAGGCCCTGGAACACAGGCCTGGGATGGCCCAGAGGTGACCCCTGGGACGCTATGGAGAGAGGGGACCTCCAGGCCCAGGCTGTAGTCTTCAACTGAAGGTTTGGTTGGTTGGTTGGTTTTGGCAGGACTGGGGTTTGGACCCAGGGCCTCACATGGCGCTCTACAACTTGAGCCACTCCACCAGCCCCCTTTTTGCTTTAGTTATTTTGGGGACAGGGACACGGTCTCACCACAGTCCTATTTATGCTTCCGGCATCATCAGGATGATAGGCACAAATCCACCATGCCCAGCAACTGGTTGAGATGGGGTCTTGCTAACCTTTTACTGGGGCTGTCCTCAAACCTCGATCCTCCCAGTCTCTGCCTCCTGACTAGCTGGGATTACAGAAATGAGCTACGATGCTTGGCCAAGCCAAGGGTTTTTAGTACCCAGTCTTTGCTAATTTGGGGTCTCCTCTATCAAAGTGTCTGAGAGATGGAAGGGAATAATCCCCTAGGTGTGCACAACCCTGGATCTTCCCTCCAACCACATAAGGAGGACGGAGCAAGTGTACAAATGAGGTATGTGAATCTCAGAGACAGATGCCCCTGCTGAGCTGGTGTTTAAAATCCCAGGGGACAAGCGCTGTGGACAAAGTCCTCACAATCAGAAGCAAGGACAGCGGGAGAGCTGTGGGGCTCTGACATTTCTCATGTTGAGATCTACAGGCCAGCGTGACATTCGAAAGACATCAGGAAAAAGAGCATCAGCTCTGTGGGAAAAAAACAAACCTAACCAGGCCCAGTGGCTCCCTTCTATAATCCCAGAAATTTGGGAGGTGGAGGTAGAAGGATCACAAAAAGCAAAAAGTTAGCAAGACCCTATCTCAAAGAAAAAAAACAAAACAACAAAGCAAGCCAGGCATGTCCATCTGTCACGCCAGCCACACAGCAGGCAGAGGTAGGGTGACCATAGTCCAAGGTCAGCCCCAGGCAAACAATGCTATCTAAAAAATAACTAAAGCCAAAAGGGCTGGCTGAGTGGCTCAAGTGTTAGGCCCTGAGTTCAAATCCCTGTACTGCCCAAAACACAGACAGCCCTTTACCAGGAATCTTTTCAGTTTTATTTTCTGCCACAGTCTGTCCTCCATTTTTTTTTTTTTTTTTTTTTTTTTTGCAGTGCTGGGAATCAAACCCAGGGCCCTATGCATGCTAGGCAACTGCTCTACCACTAAGCCACACCCCAGCCTCCAACTTGACTGGGGACGTTTGCTACAAAACAAGGGTATTAGCTTCCCCCGGCTCCCAGCACTGAGCAGCCCAGCCTCTGACCCCTGCCCTGCTGCAGCTGGTGGAACCCCAGGTGTGGAGTCTCTTCATTAGTGAGCTGGGGACACTGAGGCTCTGGGAGAAAAAGTCCCGACCAGAAGTGAGCCTTGTCCCTTCTCCAGGACAGAGGCCTCCAGAGGCCGGAAGCACTGAGGGGGCTCTCCAGACTCCCACCCTGGGCGCCCAGGCCCTGGGGACAGCCTCTTTCCATCACAGCTGCCTCCACCTGGCAGGGGACCTCTGCTACACCCTGCCGTACCCACCTGCCCACCAGACCTGTCCCAGAGCCAAGCACGGGACCTCACTTAATCCCAGTTATGTAATACGCAATGCAAACAGTTGGCCCTGGAGGAGGTGCTTGAGCCACACCCAGGAGTGGGAGCAAAAGGCTCCAGCTGGGTCTGAGCTGAGAAACTAGGCTGGACCTCTGTCCACAGCGGCCCCCGCTCCTCCAGTTCAGCCAGCACCATGAGCGGCCGAGTTGGAGACCTGAGCCCCAAGCAGGCAGAGACCCTGGCCAAGGTGAGAACCCCTCCCCATGGGGTCCCAGGGAAATGGGGCTGAGGGCTGGGGTGGGAAGGGGTGGCCAGAACTCTGTCCTTGACAGATCCCTGCTAATACCCTTGATATTGTCTCCGTGCTGTCGCCTCCCAAAATGTCAACTCCCACGGAGCACAGTGAGAGCAGCTCTGTCCAGGACAGGGGTAGAAAGAAAGGTTCCACTTCTGGCCATAAAGTAGTGATGGTTACCCAAGATCAGGGCTTGATATCTCATCCGGGAACCAGAGCCAGGGAGCGTATCTGGCAGCTCTCCCCCACCTCCTCCTCCTCCCTCCTAGCCCCTTAGGCGGGAGACGAAGGCTTCTGTGTGCTGCCCTCTGACTCTGTCCCTTCCTCCCTGGTACCCTGAAGAGATCACCAATCTATAAGAGCCAGGTTAGACAGCCAGACAACTGGTGGAGAGGAGAACCCACCATCACTTACCATGTTTCTTTAAAAGATGTGATTTAAAAAAAAAATGGCAGAAGTCTTGGTGGGAGAACACCAACATGGATGTAACTAAGAATACATTCACATGCCAATCCACTTCCCCATCCAACCGTCTCTCTCTTCTTCCATTCACCCATCCATCTTCCCATCCACCTACCCATCTACCCATCCCTCCTCTCCATCCTCTCACCCATCTCTCTGTCCTTCTGTTTCCCAGTCCATCACTCCTTTCATCCATTGACCTACCTATATTTTCATCCATCTATCCATCTACCATCTATCCATCCATCCATTCTTCATCCATCCATCCATCCATCCACCCATCCACCCACCCATCCACCCATCCACCCACCCATCCACCCATCCACCCATCCATCCACCCATCCATCCATCCATCCATCCATCCCATCATCCATCCACCCATCCACCCATCCACCATCCACCACCACCCATCCATCCACCCATCCATCCATCCACCCATCCACCCATCCATCCACCCATCCACCCATCCACCCATCCACCCACCCATCCACCCATCCACCCATTCACCCACCCACCCATCCTCCACCCATCCACCCACCCACCCATCCACCCATCCATCCACCCATCCATCCATCCACCCATCCATCCACCCATCCATCCACCCATCCACCCATCCACCCATCCACCCATCCATCCACCCATCCATCCATCCACCCACCCACCCATCCATCCACCCATCCATCCATACATCCATCCACCCATCCATCCACCCATCCACCCATCCATCCACCCACCCACCCATCCACCCATCCATCCACCCATCCATCCATCCACCCATCCACCATCCATCCACCCATCCATCCATCCACCCATCCACCATCCATCCACCCATCCATCCATCCACCCATCCACCCATCCATCCACCCATCCATCCATCCACCCATCCACCCATCCATCCACCCACCCACCCATATACCCATTGATTTCTCCTTCCTTTTCTTTCTATCCATCCACCCTCTCATCCACCCATCCATCTCTCCATGTGCTACCCATCCTCTCTTCACTTACCCATCCAACAACCCATCTCTTCTCCCCATCCATCGTTCTGTCCCTCCATCACTGTGGCCCACAGCATGTGGAAGGGAAGGAGGGGAGCAGAAACAACCTCTGAGACAGGAAGCCAGGACTCAAAGTGACAGAACCATTTTAACCAGCATCTCTCTCCCCAGTTCCGAGAAAACGTCCAAGACGTGTTGCCTGCCCTACCCAACCCTGACGATTACTTCCTTCTCCGTTGGCTCCGAGGTGAGGGCAGAAGTGGGGGTGCAGGGGTCAGGACAGGGAGTAGCAAAAGATCTGAGTCTCGCCAGCCCCAGAAGGACCTGTGGCTGTCAGGATCTGACCACACCATCTTGCTTCATATGCCCAGTTCTTGGGGGGAGGGTGGGCAGGGAAGCGAGGTCTTACTGAGACCCCAGGGCTCTGCACAGCCCCCAGAAGCAGGCCAAGGCAGCTGAAAGACAGCCCCTGTCCCACTCCCACCTTTTCCCCATCTTCCCACAGCCCGGAATTTTGACCTGCAGAAGTCAGAGGCAATGCTGCGTAAGGTGAGAGCCACCCACCCTGAACACTTGGGGACAAGCTTCCTGGTGGGCAGTCCATGCCTCATCCCCTTCCTGGGGTGCTGGGAGCCCGGTGAGAGCTTGCGATTCCTTTCCTTTTCAGTACATGGAGTTCCGTCAGACCATGGATATTGACCACATTCTCGACTGGCAGCCCCCAGAGGTGAGTCCACACCCCCAAATATACCACCTCAGTAGCCTTTGGTCTCCTGGACCATGAGTTAGAGGCAGCAAGGCTGAACCTCTCCTGTAATAATAATGAGTGTTTCCTGGGACCTTAAAAGGTCAGGGCCAAGGTTAAGGGTTTCTAAGCTTGAAGCTGGGTGTGGTAGCACATACTTGTAATCCGTTGTGCTGCAGAAGGCAGAAAAACGGAGATCAAGGTTTGAGCTCAACCCTAGCAAAAGTTAGAGGTCCTATTTCCACATCAAGCCTTCCTGGTGGTGCATGCTTGTGGTCTTAGCCACACAGGAGGCAGAGATAGGAAAATCACGGTCCAAGGTCAGTTTCAGGCTGAAACAGAAGACCCTGTCCAAAAAATAAATTAAATAAATTAAAGCAAAAAGGACTAGAAGCACGGCTCAAGTGGCAGAGTGCCTGCTTAGCAAGCACAGACTCCTAAGTTCAAACCCTAGTAACACCACCAAAAAAAAGAAAAGAATTTCTAAGCATGAACTCGTTGAAATCATCAGAGCACTATGAGCTGGGTGGTACTGTCTCCATTTTACAGAGGAGGAAACTGAGGCCCAGAAAGGTTCAGCAACTTCCCCAAAGTCCCAGAGCCCCACGGTGGGGCTGGGATTTGAGCTCCATGCCGTCTGGGTGGGAAATCAATGGCCCACTGGAAACCGGGGCCACTGAGATCATAGTAGGGTGATGGTCACAGCTTCACTTATAGGACACAAGCATTACTTAGGGACTTTCCCCACCAGCTCCAAGAAAGAGGGGCTCCCCTAACAAGAGTAGATGGAAGGGCTCAGAGAGGTGCTTGGGCGGTCAAGGACACACAGCAAGGAAGCCACAGTGTTTTATCTGGACTTGACCTGGTGACGTTCGGAGTCCACATTTTCCATCACTAAACCCAGCACGGCTTCATGGGAAGGGGACACGGGAGACGCTGGGCGCAGGCCTGAGACCTGGCTTTGTTATTTACCCGCTGTGACCAAGGCTGTCCTCTGCAGGACCCTCAGTCTTCTCACCTGGGACCCTAATGTCCCCTTCTAGGGGCAGACCCTCCCTTTGTACCACAGTGGGTGTAGGCATGGGCACCATAGGTTCACCAGATCTGGAAGTCTCTGGGGACACTTGTCATGCCGACTTCTCTGTACCGTTCTCTGCCCAGGTGATCCAGAAGTACATGCCTGGGGGCCTGTGTGGCTATGACCGTGACGGCTGCCCCGTGTGGTATGACATCATCGGGCCACTGGACCCCAAGGGGCTGCTCTTCTCGGTCACCAAGCAGGACCTGCTTAAGACCAAAATGAGGGACTGTGAGCGCATCCTGCATGAGTGTGACCTGCAGACGGAGCGGGTGAGGCCCAGACCTGGCAGGGCGGGAAGCCGGGGGCAGGGGAGATGGCAGAGGAATCCACAGTCACAGGGCTCTTGTAACTCGCCAGCCGTGTGACCTTGGAAAGTCACCTCACCTCTCTGTGCCTCAGTTTCCCCACCTACAAAGCAAGAATAATCATAAATCACGGTTGCAAAGAGTAAAACAGATGCACGTACAGGTGGTCCTCACTCACCGTGGGCTTGACGTCCTGATAAGCACATTGAAAATGCCATAGATGGAAATGAATTTAATACACCTAACCTGAACGTCACAGCCTGCCCTGCACGTGCTCACAACGCTCAGCGTTAGCAGTCACTTGCAAGCGTGTGTGAGAGAGTGTCGTTCTGAATTTCTCCAGTCCAGGAAAATTCAAAATTCAAACGTCCAAAGTACGGTTTCTCCACCATAGTGAAGTTGAAAAAGCATTTAGTCAGGTTATCTTAAGTCAGGGATCGTCTGTATGTGGCGAAGACCTAACGTATTTCTCAATAATGGGAATCACTGTTATTCCCTTGAGTCTTTGTCCTTGCTGTCCCTTCTGCCTGGATAACCTAGAAACCGTCCCCACCACCACCACTGCCAAACACTCACTCCCCACAATCCCCTGGTGTTCTTGTTTCTAGCCTGTACATCTCAGACTCAGATGTCACCTTCTCTGAAGCCCTCACCTGGGTGGCATACCCCTCTTTTCTGTTCCTGTAGCCCCTGTGTTGTTCTACAGTAGCACTTATCACGAGACTGGGGGGGGTCCCAACCAGACAACGAACTCTTTAATGACAATAACTGTGGGTTATTGAGCAATTATTCATTTTAATCTCACTGTCTAACACAAAATAAGTGCTTGATAGCATCAGTTGGACACATAGCAGGATGAATGGATGTGTCTGTGGCAATAGGAATGGAGGAATGGGTAAATGGATCGATGGGCAAATTGATGGGTGGATGGATGGGTGGGTGGATAGATGGGTGGATGGGTGGGTGGATGGGTGAATGGATGGGTGGATGGATGGGTGGATGGGTGGGTGGGTGGTTGGATGTGTGGGTGGATGGGTGGGTGGATGGATGGATGGATGGGTGGGTGGGTGGATGGGTGGGTGGGTAGATGGATGGGTGGATGGGTGGATGGATGGATGGGTGGGTGGGTGAATGGATGGGTGGATGGATGGGTGGATGGGTGGGTGGATGGATGGATGGATGGATGGATGGATGGGTGAGTGGATGGATGGATGGATGGGTGGATGGGTGGATGGGTGGGTGGGTGGGTGGATGGGTGGGTGGATGGGTGGGTGGATGGGTGGATGGGTGGATGGGTGGATGGATGGATGGGTAGATGGGTGGATGGGTGGGTGGATGGGTGGATGGGTGGACGGGTGGACGGGTGGATGGGTGGGTGGTGGATGATGAATGAATGATTGGATGATGGATGGGTGGATGGGTGAGGAAATGTATTCACTCTTGTCCACTTGCTACTCTGAGGGTGGAGTGGCGTGCTGGAGGAGCCCTGAGAGGTCATTCACTTGAGTGGCCATCTCCCAAGCACGCACCCTGAACCCTGGAACTTCTCGTTGCTACCCTCACAGCTGGGGAAGAAGATTGAAACCATCGTGATGATATTTGACTGTGAGGGCCTGGGGCTGAAGCACTTCTGGAAACCTCTGGTGGAAGTGTACCAGGAGGTGAGGAGAAAACTTGTGGGCACACATACACACACATGCACAGGCACAGGTGCACACACACACATGCACACGCACAGGTGCACACACACACTTGCTTGCACAACCAGCTTGGCCTGGTGTGACCTTGCTCTTCACTGACAGCCAAAATTAGTAAATGATCACTGCTTTCCAGACCCCCTCACCTATCTCAAGACCCCATAAACAGACATCAAGACAACACTCTACCGAGACCACAATGGCCAGCTTCACGACCCTGTCACCCCAAGCTCTGAGACTCAGACGAGCCAGTTCACCACCCCATCCTTCAGTTTCCTCAGCTCAGACATGGGAACGGGGATGCCCGGATGCATCAGTGAGTGTATACACAGTGCCTGACAAACAGCGACCATGTAATAAGCACTAGTCGTCGTCATTGTCATTCTACACAGTAATTCGATCATTGCTGTAGCACTTACCCTAAAACGATTACATGATTACTTTAGGGTGTACTTTAACAGTGTGGGGTGAGGCGGTCCCCTTTAGAGGCCAAAGGAGGATGCATCACAGCTCTCTGAAACCCAGAGCGATTGCAAAAGAGATGGGGGCTCTCATGGGGTCTTTCTTCTTTCCACAGTTCTTTGGCCTCCTTGAAGAAAATTACCCAGAGACCCTGAAATTCATGCTTATTGTGAAAGGTGTGTGGGAAGCGACTTCGCTTTCCTGGGCCCCACATTTCCTCATCTGTATCCTCAGGTGACAATAGTGCCTTCATCCCTGGCTTTTTGTGGGCAGGTTGGTGACTGGGCTGCATGAGTAAGTGCTCAGTAAAATGGCAGCTCCTATAGCAAGAGGATGTAGGTGCAAGCCTGGCATCTTCCAAATTCCCCTTCCCTTCTTCCACCCACCATGATCTCTCCCTCCCCAGGCCATCTCCCACACTGGCAGCCCAATCTTCCCTTCCAGTTTGCTTCTTGCTGGAAGCTTTCATTGTTTTATTGTGTTCATTGGATTCCCTTCTCGAAGGCAGGGATTCATTCTTCACTTCTGTTGTGTACCTTACAGCCTGGCACCATGTGGAAACTCACTAAGTATTAGGGTGGCTGTTGTTTGGGGTGGTGGGAAGAAGGAAGGATGGATATATGTTTGATGGTTGCTTGGCCAGTTGGTTGCTAGGTTGGTTGACCAGTTGTCTGGCCAGTTGGTTGGTTGTCTACTTAACTGATTAGTGTTTGGTAGAAAGTTGGCTGGCCAGTTGGCTGACTGGTTGTTAGTGTGGTTGACTGTTTGAGTGGCTGGTTGACATTTGAGTCCACTGATTATTTGGATGGCTGCTTGACAGGTTGGTTTGTTGGCTAGTTGGTTTGTTGTGTGACTGAATCTTGGATGGCTGGCTGGCTCGTCGTTGGAATATTTGGCTGGCAGGTGAGAGCAGTTGGTTTGTTGGTTAGCTGATTGCAACTGGCTGTTGGTTTTCTGTTTGGCTGATTTGTTCAAAGGTTGTTTGGCTGTTCAGTAGTTGGATGACTAGGTAAATTGGTAGACTATTTGTTGGCAGTTTGGCTGATTTGTTGGATACTTGGTTGGCTGTTTGATAGGTTGGCTGGCTTCTTGACTGACCAAATGGTTGTGTGATTGGGAGACTAGATGTTTAGCTCACTTGTTTGGGCGGGTGGTTGAGAGATGATTGGTTAGTTGCCCATTTGTTGGCTGGTTGACTGGTTGGTTGAATGGTTCATTGGGTACAAGACATTGGAACCAACCAGGATTCACCATGACTCTTCTTTATCACTGGCTGTGGCCACTTTGGAAAGAATGACCCAATGAATTCTGTTCTCCCCGTTATCCTTACTTGTATCTCTCCAGCCACCAAACTTTTCCCCGTGGGCTACAACCTAATGAAACCCTTCCTGAGTGAGGACACCCGCCGGAAAATTATAGTGTTGGGAAGTAAGTAGTTCCAGTGAGTTCTCTGAGCTTTGCCATGAGGTTTCTCCATCAGAACTCAGGACATCACTTAGAGTCACAGGTTTCTGCTTCCCAAAAGTGAGGTGGGTCTTACCCTGTGGTCTATCCAGTCAACCTAAGCCTTATTCCCTACCATAGCCTCTTGGTGACTAAGGCCTCTATTTGGCTGGGGCATTGGCTCACATCTGTAATCCCAGCCATTCAGGAGGTGGAATCAGGAGTATTGCAGTTCAAAGCCAGCCCAGGCTAAAAGTTAGAGAGACCCCATCTCAATCAACAAGCCAATTATGCTTGCAATCCCAGTGATCTGTGAGGCATACATAGGAGGATGGTGGTCCTCTTGGCCCCAGACAAAAACACAAGATCCTATCTGAAAAATAACTAAAGCGAAAAAGAACTGGGGATGTGACTATACCCCTTGAGCCACGCCTCCAGTCCCTTTTGCTCAGGTTATTTTGGAGATGAGGTGTCATGAACTATTCACCCGGGCTGGCCTCAAACTGTGAGCCTCCTGATCTCAGCCTCCAGTAGCTAGGGTGACAAAGTGTCCTAAGGGTACTCTTTAAAGTGTCAGCATATGGCTTGGGGTGGAGCTCAGTGGTAGAGGGTCCATCTCTAGCCCTGTGTATAGATTTCATAAATAATAAACACGTAAATCATTTACGTATTTGGAAAATCAGGTTCTGGGCATGTTCCATAATTGATAGCTAATCCTCCCTCTCCCTGATCCCCCAGACAACTGGAAAGAAGGTTTGCTGAAACTCATCAGTCCTGAGGAGCTGCCTGCTCATTTTGGGGGGACTCTGACTGACCCGGATGGGAATCCCAAATGTTTAACCAAGGTACAAAGAGCCCTGGGACAGGGGAGAATTGGAGTGTAGAGCTGGTACCTTTCCTTATTCATTCCACAAGCATCTGCTGATAGACCCTGGGGGGTAGAGACAGGGGTTGAACCTACGCTGATGGAGCTCTGTGCAGCTGAGGGAGCCAATAAGAAATGGTTTTGGCCCAGAGGGAGGAACTGGAGGAGGAAGCACCCAGAGGAAGCCCTGGAGGGTCAGGGAAGGGGAGTGGGGACAGGAATCTTCCTGGAAATGGTGAAAGTGTCTCGGACAGGACAGACAGCAAGCCAAGTGGCCAGGAGAAGGGAACAAGGCCTTCCCATCCTATGTCTGCAGATCAACTATGGCGGGGAGATCCCCAAGGCCATGTACGTGCGGGACCAGGTGAAAACTCAGTACGAGCACTCAGTGCAGATCAGCCGCGGGTCCTCGCACCAGGTGGAATATGAAATCCTGTTTCCAGGCTGTGTCCTCAGGTAGGGACAGGGGACAGGCCACCCTTCTCCACCTAGCTGGGCGCTAGCCCTTTTGGAGACCCATCAGGCTAAGCAGCAACCTGTCCCCTCCCAGGTGGCAGTTTATATCCGATGGTGGGGACATCGGCTTTGGGATCTTCCTAAAGACCAAGATGGGGGAGCGACAGAAGGCTGGGGACATGACAGAGGTGCTGGCCAGCCAGCGCTACAACGCCCATATGGTGCCCGAGGACGGGACCCTCACCTGCTCGGACGCTGGCGTCTGTAAGTCTGCCCCAGCCGGACACCAGCCCCGAAATCAGGAGCCACCTGCCCCGTGGTTAAGAGGGGCAGTCACACACGGACAGACAGACACACACATGGTCACATGGTCTAGGTTACAGCCATTCGTGAGCACCTGCTGTATGCAGAGTCAGAGACGGGGCCAAGACACTGAGGACACAGGACAGGGACAAAGAGACACAGACTCTGAAGACACAGGACACAGGCCAGGGATAAAAAGGCAGATGCAGCTTTCCCCAAGAGGAAACTGAGGCCCAGTGCAGAGCCACAAAGCTGGTTGCGATGCCAGGGTCCCAGCTCAGCCTCACCTGTGAGCCAGGGGGTGCCACTCGTGCCTTTTGGGGTGATCGTGAGGCCGTCCCCTGTCCTCACTGTGTCCAGGGGGGACTGGGAAGTCTCCAATATTCTCAGCTGTCCCCCTCCTTTGTGTGTCCATCACGCCAGCGCCCAGGTGTGGACGCAGTGGAGTGTAATGGCCCTTGTCCTCAGGGTCACTTGATGGAACTGGGCCCAGGCCAGGTGGGGGACAGGGTCGGTTCACAGGCTCTGCCCATGGCAGAGGGAAAGGGCGGGCGTGGAGGGAACTCGGGTAAACAATGTCAGTGGAGACATGAGCCTGACCTCCCCCATGGTCAAGGCAGGGACGCAGAGAGTGTCAAGCCAGGTCCAGTTCCCACCTTCCCATCTGTCCTCAGATGTCCTCCGCTTTGACAACACCTACAGCTTTGTCCACGCCAAGAAGGTCAGCTTCACGGTGGAGGTGCTGCTTCCAGACGAAGGCATGCAAAAATACGACGAGGAGCTGACCCCTATCTAAGTGCCCTCCCCACTACTCAGAGACCCCTGACCCTCTGCTTTCTGTCTTCCTGCCATCCCTAAAACTGATCACTAGTCCTGCTTGACTCTGTCACACTAGTGAGTAGAGAAAGAAGTTGCCCTGGGGACGATTCATCTGCTGTGGTCAGATCAGGAAAGGTATGAAAGGCACAGCCTTGGAGGACACCAAGGTAGCAGAAGAGAAAGCAGCAAGAGTAAATGCGAGAGGTGTCGCCTATCCTGAGGGGTTTGTGTGTCCTTGAATTCCTTCCCTATGAGCTGGGAACAACTTGGGCTGCAGACTTATCGAAATCCTTTTTAGTTCGACTCCTGTATAGTAGACGCTTAGTGTTTGCTTATGGAATTGACAGGACCAGAGTGACAAGGAGGAGCCAGCCAGGGGCACATTTCAGCACCTTGGACAGGGAGGGGGTGGCGGGATGAGCTCTTTCCTGAAGATCCTGGCGATTCTGGTGATGGCTTCCTCTGGGGGGACCTTGACCCTGACCCCCCAACACTCCCACGCTTGCTTCCCTCTTCTGGAGCCCACATCTCACATTTTTAGCAGTTCAAGGAATTTTCTTCCGAGCAAATGAAGTCACTTGCTACTTTAGCTGGTGCCAAGCATAATAAAAAAAGAAATGGCACCTGTCGTGTGGTGTCGTTTGGTGACAGAGTTGGGCCAAGTGCTTCCCTCCCCAACACCACAAGCCACCTTGTGCCTGAGGGAACTGAGGCTCAGAGAGGCGAAGCCACTCTCGGTGCCACCTGGCTCTGTTAAGTGACAGATCGAGCCAGGACTCACGTTGGTTATGGCTTTTATTCATTTGTTTTTCTTTTGGGGCGGCACTGGGGTTTGAACTCAGGACCTCATGCTTGCTAGACAGGCGCTCTACCACCTGAGCCACTCCACCAGCCCATTTTACTCTGGTTATTTTGGAAATGGGGTCTTGAGAACTAATTGCCTGGGCTGGCCTCGAACCATGATCCTCCTCATCTCGGCCTCCCATGTAGCTAAGATTAGAGGCATGAGCCTCCACACCGGTCCAGAAATAGGACTGGAGCTCGTTGTGCACCCAACTTCGTTGCCCCCAGTTTACTGCAGTGACTTGCCAGAACAGGACAAGACCGCCGCCTTCCTGAGCTGAGAGGTGTGGGGGTGTCTCAGAAGGTAAGGAGGAAGGAAGGAGGGTGTCAGATTTCAAAGGAGAAGAGGGTGCTGGCGAATAATGTCAAAATACACTGCGTCTGTGCAGAGAAAAAGTTAATATCCTATCTAGCAACCCTACAAATGGGAGATGAGGAGCCGGGTGTGGTGACACACGAATGTAATCCCGGCTTCTTGGGAGGCTGAGATTAGGAGGATCGAGTCTTGAGGCCAGCCTGGGCAAATAGTTCCTGAGACCCCCATCTCCAAAATCACCAGAGCAAAATGGACTGGAGGACCGGCTCAAGAGGTAGAGCTCCTGCTTTGCAAGTGTGAAGTCCTGAGTTCGAATCCCAGTCCCACCAAAGATAAAGAGGGATGAGAGACAGAGGACGCGGGTGGGGACCCCACCATTTGGGCCAAGCTTGTCATGGGATTTAGGGAAGCTGTGACCATTGCTGTTGGGACCGTTGCCCGTCAGAGCTCCCCTGTCACAACCAAGCAGGAGACTTGAGGCAGTGACATAGCCAAAGTCCCCACCAGCACCCACAGATGGCCAGCCATGGACAGCCAGCTCCGCCCTGGAGCGTAGACCTGGCCACTCAGTCCCCGTCAGGGACCCAGGCTCAGCGACAATGCTGAACCTCCCGGAGGTGGCACCGGTGCGGGGAGGGACCCACTCTGTGGCTTCAATCTGTGGACCCCGTGTTCCCGTGTGGGGTCCAGGCCGGATGACCCCAGTCTCCCTCTGCGGAAAGTCCCCGCGAGTTAAGGCACAGCAAGACCGCTAGAGAGCTAGGGAGCCACAAAGGGTCCCCGTCGTCTTCCAAAGGAGCCACCCCCTCCTCTGAGCCTCCCTCGGGTGCAGACTGGGGTTCCCAGGAGAGGTCTCCACTGCCCATCACTTGACTGTCCAGGGTGTCGGGGGTGGGAGATGCCTGGTTCTGCACCCCAACTTACAGAGAAGCCGGGGGGGCCCTTGAGCGCCTTCCTTGGGGTCAGCAGGTGCAGGGTGACACCGGTGAAGGCCAGCAAGCCATCTGGGATCTTGCAGGAGGCAGGGAGGGAGGAGGCTGGGGACACCTCGGAGGCTCAGGGGACATTGTGTGGGACGAGCCCAGAGCTGAGAAGGGAGAGAAAAGCCAGGCACAGTGGGGACGCAGGGGTGTGGCTGGGATGGCACCAAGAACACACGTTCCTGGACCTGAATAGCAGCGGGCAGAGGTGGGGGACGGTCCTTTTAGGGCTGAGGCTGCTCCCTACCCTACCTGCAAGCCACCCCACTGGCAGCTTTGCTTCCACCATATGTGTAGTACTGGGATTTGAACTCAGGGCTTCACGCTTGCTAGGCAGGCGCTCTACCACTTGAGTCACCAGTGATAGGATCTCACGAACTACTTGCCCGAGGCTGGCTTTGAACTACCATCTTTTTGATCTCTGCCTCCTGAGTAGCTGGGATTACAGGCGTGAGCCACTGGTGCCTGGCTAAGCTGCAGACCTTTTTTTTTTTTTTGGTGGAACTGGGATTTGAACTCAGGACTCAGACTCACTAAGCAGGCGCTTGAATCACACCTTCAGTCCTTTTCGCTCTAGGTTTTTTTGTTTTACATAACATCTTTCACTTTTTGCCCGTGGCCATCCTTGGACCACGATCTTCCTAATCCTTTCCTCCCAGGTAGCTGGGATTACAGGTGTGCGTTACCACACCCAGCCTGGACACGACTATTAACTGGCTAAATTCAACTACGCGGATTGTCACACGATCGTCCATGTGGACAAGGCATACGACCCACAAGCTGTCTGTAGGGTAACGCAGAAGCACGCGTGCGCTGACGTGCAGAGAGCGGAAGTCGCCTGGGAGGACCACACTAGGATCAGTCGGTGGAGGTCTGCGAGGGAAAGTTTTCCTTGCCTTTGTTTACCTTTTTTTGGTGAGGGTGGGCAGGGAACAACTTACTGGAACGTAGCCCATGACTTCCCTCCCCAAAGTGCCTACAGGACAGAACAGATTCAAGGTCACCAACTGGCTCGCAGCGGAGCCCACTCAAGCTATGACCTCTTAGCCTTCCCCGCCCCCCGACTCCTCATTTTGCCCCCTTCTCCCAGCCTAGAGCCCCGACTCCCACGGCGAACGCACGGACATCCGTCTGTCCACACACTGAGTTCAAATCCCGGTCCCAGTGAGACCTTCTTGGGAGGGTGACAGCAGTCACAGAGGCAGTGTCCCCGTCCACTTCCATGCTGTCAATGGTCCAGGAAGAAAGCCACACCCAGGCAGAAGGCCAGGGACAACAGTCTGCCCGGGCGGCTGTGTGGCTGCGGGTGGTTGCTTGACCTCTCTGGACCTTCCTTTCCCTGGTTTACAGCACCGTAAGGATTCCCTGTAGTGTGGGCAAAGCGTCCAGGCACGGGGCCACTTCTGCCCACTGGACTCCAGCTTCCAGAACCCCAACTGGCCGCCAGCTGGCAGGGGTTTTTTGGTGTGACTGGGATTTGAACTCAGAACTTCACACTTGCAAAGCGGGCGCTCTACCGCTTGAGCCCCACCTCCAGTCCATTTTGCTCTGGTTATTTTGGAGCTGGGGTCTTGTGAGCTATTTGCCTGGGCTGGCCTCAAACCTCAATCCTTCACAATCTCAGCCTCCCAAGTAGCTGGGATTACAGGTGTGAGCCACCTGGCCCAGCTGCTCAAAGGCTCTCATCCTACAGATGATAGAAACTGAAAAGGATGGGACAGCAGGCCGAGGTGACAGGGCTCCTCCTGTGCTCCCATGACCCCATCACGCCCACTGCATGTTGAAATGCACTGTGGCCCATTGGTCCCCACTAACTGAGTGCCACAGGGAGGAAGGCAGGCCAGCCTGTGACTCACAACCCTTCCAGGACAGAACTCATCCTGGTTTTCCTTACCCTTATCCCCGCAAGGCTGGTTTAGAACGGGACAAAATACTAACGTAGCTTGGGTTTTAGGATTTTCATTTTCCGTTCTTCACACGATCTAGTAAATAGCAGAAAGAAAAGCTTTTCCAGGGGTGGCAGCACACGCCTGTAATCCCAGCTACTCGGGAGGCAGAGGTAGGAGGATCACAGCCTGAGTCTGGCCCAGGCAAAATCCCACACATGGTGAAGGTGACGCCCTCAGGGCTTCTCCTTCTGTGTACAGCTCAAGCCAAATCCAGGGTGGTGGCACCAAGTGGTCAGGGGTCAAGGTTGCCAGGTGAGATACAAGGCACCCCGAAATTTCGTTAGCATCAAGTTCATCCCGCACAGCATTTAGGATACACTTACGATTCTAAAAGGGCATCGTGTGACACTCAAGGTCACCTTGGCCTCCTGGCTTTTCATTTGGCCAAGCTGGAAACTCTCAGGGGACCCAACACCCCTTTCCTGGGTGTTGAAGCCCGAAAGGGGAAGCAGGGTAACAGGAAGGAAGTCCCCAGCCTGGGGATCCTCGCTCCATCTTCTCCCACGACAGGAAATCGCCACTCTGCAGGGAAGAGGAGAGAGAGAGAGAGAGGAGAGAAGAGAGAGAGAGAGGAGAGAAGAGAGAGAGAGAGAGAGAGAGAGGGAGAGAGAGGGGGAGAGAGAGGAGAGAGAGAGAGAGGGAGAGAGGAGAGAAAGGGAGCGAGAGAGAGGAGAGAGAGAGAGAGAGAGAGGCTTCTGGAGAAGCCACAAGAGGGATTTGCACTCCTTGGAGCCAGGTGAAGAATCCACCCTGTCACTACTGTTTTCAGACAGACGTGTTTTGTGTGAGCAAAGGGCAGATGTCACCAAGTCAGCCATGAGTGACAAAGACTCTAGAGTGGCTCAGTCCTTTCTCCTGGATGGGAAAAGTAGCCCAGCTTCTGGCCATGACTTGCTCAGCCCGGGGGGCACAGGTCCAAGAAAAAAAAAAAGGTCAGTTGTCACCAGTGACCAAGCCCACAGGGCCAGCCTGCAGACATGACCACACCGATGATGACCAAGTACAAGGAGAGTGACCTCTGTACACAGCCCCAGACCTCCTTCAATCGGCCCAGAGGAGGCTGGGGAGGGACAGGTGACACCCGCCGTGACACCCACCGTGACACCCACCGACCAGGAC